TATATCTATTTGTATTTTTCTATATATATATATATATATATATATATATATATATATATATATATATTAAAAAGAGACCATGAATTTGAGAGGGAGTTGGGGAATGTGGGAGGGGGCTGGAGAAAGAAAAAGAAAGGGGATGATGTATTTTAAATAACAGGCTTAAAAGATTTCCTGCAATGCAGTGTTTCTCATTTCAGTGATTGTATTTGTTTTCTGGGACTGTGTAATCAAGCCCAGATTGAGTGGCTTACCCAAGAGATTTATTTTTTGTATTTAAGAGGCTCAGATCACTGTACTTGCATGGTTGGTTTCTTCTGGGACTTCTCTCCTTGGCCTGTTGGTGGCTCTCTCCTGTGTCTTCACTTGGTCTGCCCTCTTGGCTGTGTCTGTGATAAAATTTTGTTTTCTGAAAAGGAGGCGGGTCACATTGCATTAGATCCCATCCTAATGAGCTCATTTTAGTACCCTCACCTCCTTAAAACCGTTTCCAAACAGTCACACTTGGGAGCACCGAGTTAGAATTACAGCATCTTTTTGTTTGATTTTGTGGTTCTGAGGACAGAACCAATGAGCTGGCTCCCATCTGGTAGTCTTTCGTGTGAGACACGTGTCTCGTTGATGGGCCTATGAGCTGTCTCTAGGTTGTTGTGCTCCATGGTGTCACTCATTCTCCCTGTGTTGGTTTATAGGCATGGATGAATGAAAAGTTTGCCCCTGAGCTACTAGAAAGCAAGCCTGAAATTGTCGAGTGTGTTATGGAACAGCTAGAACATATGGTAAGAGTTACTTGTCTCTGGGTTACCGAGGAAGAGAAAGCTAAAAGCATTTGGGCAGCATAATGAAATGTGCTCTGATAGCATGTCTTTGTTTGACTCAGTCCAGTGCTTTAAAAGAAGTTCCAACTGTATTGATCAAGGTTCTCAACTGAAAGAGTGAATATTTGTATGGGGGGATTTATTACATTGGCTTACAGGCTGTGGTCTGACTCCCAACAGAAAAGCCAAGAATCTGATAGTAAGTAGTCCACTCCAACAGGATGTATGTCTCAGCTGATCTTCAGTATAGGTTGGAATCCTACTACTAGGAAAGGAATGCCTCAGCATCAGGGTAAATGAACTTGCCATTGAGACTGAGGGCAAGCAGGCAAAAAGCAAGAGCTTCCTTTTCCCGTGTGCTTTTTTTTTCCCCTCCTTCTTTCGAGACAGGATTTCTCTGTGTAGCTTTGGAGCCTCTCCTGGAACCTGGAATTCACTCTGTAGACCAGACTGGCCTCGAACTCACAGAGATCCACCTTCCTCTGCCTCCCAAGTGCTGGGATTAAAGGCATGTGCCACCACCCCCGGCTCCCATGTAGGCTGCCCACAGAGTGTATGGTCAGTCTTTCCATCTCACATAATATCAAGGAAATCCCCCACAGATGTGCCCAGCTGCTTGGGTTTTAGTTGATTCCAGATGTGGTCAAGATGACAGCCAAAATTGGTGTTGCATCTATGTTTATAAACTACAAGAGTTTCCATAAAATTTTTGTTTCCATTTTTATTTTATGTGTATGAACGTTTTGCCAGCCTGTATGTGCATGTGGTACATGCATGCCTAGTGCCTACAAAGCCCTTAAGAGGGTATCAGATTCCCTGGAACTGAGGTTACAGATGGTTATCAGCTGCTGTGTGGGTGCTGGGCACCAGACCCGGGTCCTCTGCAAAAACAGCAAGTACTGCCAACCACTAAGCCCTCTCCAGCCCAGGAGTCCCTGTAAACACCAGCATGTCAGCTTCCCGAAAACATAATACAACTTTGGATGTCAGTCTTTCCTTCCACCTTGAGACAGGGTTTGTTAGTTGCTCACTGCTGTGTATGTCAGCCTTGGTGGCCTGGGAGTGTCCAGGACTTTCCCTGTCTGCCTCCCTTTGTGACACATGAGCACTGGGATTAAAGACAACATTACCCACATCTGGCCCTGCACTTAGGATCTGAGAATGCAAACCCAGGTTCTCATGCCTACAGTAGCAGGTACTTTACCCACTGAGCTATCTCCCCAGTCCCCAAACTAGTTTTAACATGCCTTTATAGACCCTTGGACAGTTCTGCTGTTGCCGTATTGCCTTCTTCACAATTAGATTGGAGTCCTAGACCATTGTAACTGGTCATTTTCAGATTCTATTCAAATAGTCATCTTTAAAATGGATACTTTCGAATTATATACCTAATAGAGTTCTTTGTTATCTTACAACGACATAATCTTGGGGTCCTTGACTTTGCCAGTGTTTATGGTGTGTTTGAACATAATGATTTAAATTTCTCTTATGATAGGAAGGAAATCTCAGAAGAGCCAAAAGTGGGGATCTGAAGGTCAGTATCCATCGAATGGAGATGGAGAGGATCCGCTATATCCTTAGCAGCTACTTGCGGTGTCGACTCATGAAGGTTTGATGGGCATTAATGCAGTAAGATTTGGGCTATTGAATAGCATGGGGAGAAGTTCAGGACCTGAAGATTCTAAGCCCAGCATCACTGGAGCCAGAGAATAAGGAGAGTACATTCTAGGAAGTGTAGCTGAAACTATAGGTATTGATGTTGAGCTTTTTTAGGTCTTATTACTGTTTTCTAAGCTATGTATCTTATTTCTGGACGTATTTCTTACAATTAAATGTCATTTTTCTATCTGTGTATTCTCTATATATTTTTTCAGCTTTTGTATGAGTTTCAACTCCTAGGAAGATACCTGTACATTAAATATTAAATGATATCCCTTCTTTTCCTTAACATTAGATAGTTGTTTTCTAAGAATTTCTTTGCCAAAAGCTTTACTCTATGAACTGTTTTCCTTTTGGGGGTCTTGATGTTAGTATTCAGGCATCTGTACTGGCTTGTCCTTGGGGTCTTGACAGGATATGTCTTCAACTGCAGCCACTTAGAGCACCACCTGTGCTTATTCGCCATGTTCCCTTTTAAAAGGGTCCTGCCCATCTGTTTCCCTCTCCTGTCTCTCCCCCATTCCCTTTCTTTCTTTTCTACCACTCTTGTCCTCAGGGACCCGTCTCTGTTCCCTTCTCTGCCCCTTCTCTCCTCTTCCAGTAAGCCTCCCCTGTAAGCCCTGTTGTAAGGTGTGACTTCTCTTCCTACTGTGTTTAAATGAGCAACACTTGGAATCTATCTTTCTCTGAGTTCTTGGAAGCTCGCTGTTTGTGTTTTTTTGTTTTTTGTTTTTTGTTTTTTTTTTTAAATCCCCAGTGCTTGGGGAACTGGGCCTTGCACATTTTAGACTGGTGCTCTACCACCAAGTCACACTCTCAGCTCCTTGTCAGTTTTATTGTTGCTGCTGCTATTAAATATACCTCTATGGGTGTTTTGCCTGCATCTGAGTCTGTTCACAGTGTTCTTGTCTGGTGCCCATTGTATTCCTTGGAACTGAAGTTACAGATGGTTGGGAGCTGTCATGTGGGTGCTGAGAATTGAACCCAGGTTCTTTGTAAGAGCAATAAATACTCTTAACCACTGAGCAATTTCTGTAGCTCTTTCTTGTCAGCTTTAAAATTAGTAATAACCTCCTTCAGCAAGCCCCAGTGAGGGACAATGTCTCAAAAAACCAGGTCAATGACAGGTGAGAAATGAAAACCAAGATGTCTTCTGGCCTGCACATGTATGCACATACATACATGCAACACCCCCCCCCACACACACACACACACACGAACATGCATAGGCACACACAAAACTGAGCCTTGGTGCAGCTCAGTGGCCAAGCACTAGCCTAGTATATGCAAGGCACTGAGATCAAGGAAGCAAACATGTGAACCCAGAATGATCAATTTTCATTTTTATTATTTATCTTCACAGATAGAGAAGTTTTTCCCTCACATCCTAGAAAAGGAGAAAATGCGCCCTGCGGGGGAGCCTTCCGTCCTTTCTCCAGAGGAGTTTGTCTTTGTCAAAGAGTAAGTGAGGAAATTGGAACTGCTTCTGCGCTTGCCTTCCAGCATGGGCTTTGTCCACAGTGCTCAGCATGGTAGCTCTGGTGGCTCCTGTTGATGTACACTACAGCCGTTTGACTTTCTTTGTTCCAGGTATATGGATCACACAGAGACCCATCTTAAAAATGTTGCCTTAAAGCACATGCCTCCCAACCTGCAGAAAGTGGACCTCTTGAGGGCAGGTAAGCCACCTTTTCCAGATCAAGATCAGGACCATAAAGTACATCCCAGACATCCATCTTTAGATACCTGAGAGTCAGCTCTCTTTAGTCAGTATGCAGAGAAGCAACTAAGATAAAAGGGAAAAAAAAAGGAAGGGTTCTGGTTAAAAATAAAAGCAATCAAAACTAGATGTCAAGGTCACTGTTTCAGCATTACTCACCCTGTGTCCTGCAAATGGGATTGGACTCATGGCTGCTACTACAGATATAGACTTCTTTGTTTATTCAGCCACATACTTTCTGAGCATCTTGGAGGATCCTGGGCCCTTCTGAGGTCTAGGGAAGCAGGCCCCACAGATTTCCTAGGTTTTAGAATGTAGTAACTACAAAGGAGGCTAGAAACAGTTTTCTGCCTCTAAAAAGGGCTTTTCAGCTCTGTTGTAAAGATCGGCCAGCTGAGCTTTTATGGGTTGTCAGTGAGATCCACGTCCCTCTGCTTCATAGCCCACTGAGATGAATCTAATGAGACAAAACTGCCAGACCAAATCAAACCTGTCTCCAGAAGACCAGGTCTTACCTGGTTTACTGAGCTCAGTGTCCCCAGGCCACACATAACAGCAGTGCCCTCATCTTTTGCCCTGGCATGTGTGCTGCACCAGGAGGCCTGTGGTGTGGAACAGTCCTAGCACTTTTGAACAGCTCCCAGTTTTGGCGGTTGGATGTCTAAGATCAAGGCACTAGACTTGGTGTCTAGTAGGAACTTGTCCCCTTCATGGTTTCTTCTGTGTGCCCTGCATGGCCAAAGGGAAGAAGCAAGCATTCAGGCCTCTTTTAAAGTCACTATACCCTTCTGTGTTTTAATCCCTTCTTACCCGAACACTGGTCAGACTGACTTAGGGCCTACCCGGAACAGTGTCATTTAAACTTAAGTACCTTCTTAAAAGCCTTCCTCCATAGTTCCATTTCAAAGACCAGAAGTTATTGCTTGCATATATGAATTCCAAAGGGATATACTTTATTGCCTGTGAGACCTGGAACAAAGCACTTTGTAGGATTCTAAATCAGTAATTTCACTGACACTGCCATAAGAAGTCAAGGAGCAGAGTAGCCATTGAAGCATAGCCCAGCTGTGGCACACATTGACAGTGTTAGTGGTGGTGGAAGGGTGGCAGCAGTTCCTCAGCCTTCATCACTGCAAGATTACTTAAGGTTAAGACCATATTCCTTTGTCTAATAGTCAACACTGTGACCATGTAACCCAAGCTTCACTGTATATAAGCTCCTAGATCTTGGTGTTTATTTCTATCTCAGCCTTTTTGTGGCATTCCCAACTTCATTTCCCATCTTTAAATCCTGGGCTTATAAAAGAAAAAAAAGCACATCTGCTACTTTGTTCCCCACTATTGAAAGCATATACCACTAATGTGAGGCTTCACTAATGGCTTAGTTCCCGCCTCATCTGGAAAGATGTGTTAAAACTTGTTTGTATCTTCCATGAATTGCAGTGGTTCACACTCATCTGGGCTTCACTTTTCAAGATTTGCTATCTATAGTCATCCATGTTCCAGAAATACAAACTAGACAATTCTAGAAACAACATGTAAGTTTTAAATCCTGAACTCTTGGGACTAGAGAGATGGCTCAGTGGTTAAAAGCACTTGCTGCCCTTATGGAAGACCTGGGTTCAATCCTGGCACCCACATGGCAGTTCAGAACTGTCTATAGCTCTAGTTCCAAGGGTTCCAACACCCTCTTCATCACAAGTCTCAGTAGATTAACCCTAGTGACTTCTGTCATGTTGAACCTATTAGCTGTTTATGATTACGTTTGTCCTTTCCTGGCAGTTCCCAAACCAGACCTAGATTCATACGTGTTTCTGAGAGTGAAAGAACGACAAGAAAACATCCTAGTAGAACCAGAAGCAGATGAGCAGAGGTGAGTGGCACGTGTGGCTTCCCCATGGAGAGTTAGCTAAGCTCTGTACATAAAACATGTCCTCCTCTTTCAGAGACTATGTTATTGACTTGGAGGAGGGCTCACAGCACTTGATCCGGTACAAAACCATTGCACCTCTTGTTGCTTCTGGAGCAGTTCAGTTAATATAAAACAGCACAAACAAGCCTGAGGACATGGAATCATGGACAACATTAGAAACCCCATTTCCTTTTGTGTCTAAGAATAATGAAGTCATGCTCCATACAGTAGGCTTTCCTCAGCAATTCTCGGACTACTTGGCCACGGAAAAAGAATCAATGTGGATTCCCTTCATTACCACACCCTTCTCCTAACTCCCTACTGTTCTAGCCAGCACCAGCAGATGGGGCCCTTGCTCTGTTTCGATACTCAGCAAATAAATGAACTGTTGGGTGTGTTCCTTTTCTTTTTCTACTATTTATTGAGCTCAGGAAAGGTCATGAAGAGGCTTCTCCACTCTGCCATGGTGGGGAGATGGATTGGGCATAAATTGATAATAACAAGAGAATTCCTTTTGCTTTCCTGATAGAATATCATAAGCAGACTAAAGCAAACAGTTATGGTCTGCTTCTATACATCATTAAATGTGTGGCCTAATGTTTTGGAACCTCAGATATTGGACTTAACACAAATTAACTGAAGAAAGTCACAACTAGCTAAGCCACTGTTGAATGTCAGGCTTGTGGTAGGAGTCGCCTTTGGATAGCTCTTAGCCTACTTTCTAATGAAGTAGATTCTCCCTGTGCCTTATGCAGCTTTGCCTGGCAAGGCTTCAGGCCATCTGGCTGTCCCTGGTCCAGCCTCTGAACAGAGAGTCGTTATTAACTGTCCTAAGTTGGGACCTCAGCAGTATCTGGGGATATGGATAGAATGGCCTAATGTGAACAGCTTAACACCTGAAGGGAAGACAGCTCATGAGTTAGCACCTTGAGACTGATGAAAAGCAGCCCTGTTTCAGTCTCTTCTTCCTTTCTTCCTTTTTATTTATTCATTCATTCATTCATTTTGTTGCTGATTTTGAGACAGGGTAGTTCTGCCTATCCTTGAACTCACTATATAGACCTGGCTATATAGACATAAAGACTTTGGGTATGAACCCAAAGATACACCTGCCTCTGCCTCCCTGTTGTTGGCATTAAAGACTTGCACTACCAGGCCCAGCCAGTCTCTTTGTGATAATGCAGATTTTCACTTATACAACATGATCAGAGAGTAAGCCACTGAAATTTTTATCACTGCCAAGAGAACCCCATAAATAAAGGCAAGGAAAGTTCTCTGTAAACAGAGGCGTTTGGCATTTATCTAGTAAACTGCATCCTCTAGAGTAGCTCTGTCCCCAGTATTAAACAAATGTGTATGGAACAGACAGTGTGGCAGGTGTACAATCCTGAATTAAATATTCTTTGTCCCTACTTAGAAATTATGTTAAGTCCCTTGCAGGGAATTAGGGTGACTCACCAGAGTGACCAAATTTGTGGTTGTCCTAAGTTTGCATTATATTGCTGCAATAAAGCCAAAAGTAGCTTGGGAAGGAAAGGACTTCTTTTGCTTGTACTTCTACAACCAAGTTCACCATTTGATGGAAATCAGGGCAGGATCTCAAATAGGAACCTGGAAGCAGAAATGAAGGAGAGGCCATGGAGGAATAGTTAATGGCTTTCTCTTCATGGCTTGCTCAGTCTTCAAATAAAGGGGAATTTGCATTTCAAAACCAAATGGAAAGATTTTACTTTTTTCTTTTATAGTATTTTCCTTTAGGGTTAAAAACTTACCACTGGGGGCTGGAGAGATGGCTCAGTGGTTAAGAGCACCGACTGCCCTTCCAGAGGTCCTGAGTTCAATTCCCAGCAACCACATGGTGGCTAACAACCATCCATTATGAGATCTGGTGCCCTCTTCTGGTGTGCAAATATATATGGAAGCAAAATTTTGTATACATGATAAAAAAAAAAATCTTTAAAAAAAAAAAAACTTACCACTGAAATCATGACAGACATTTTCATCAGATAATTACATCATCCTTTGTTCTAAGCTTGTACAGCTATGCAAGACTTAGCTAAATCACAGGTTTGAGAGTGTAAGTTCAGTGGTAGAGTGTTGCCTGCCCTGGGTTTCATCAAGCTTTCTTTTTTTTCCTTTCCTCCAGGAAAATACAGTGAAACTTAACAAGACACTTTGGTTACAAGCATAAAAAACGAGATTGAGATTGTACCAATAGGAAAGTATTCTGACCCACAACTTAGACAGCTAAAAGGAAATAAGTTTCTTGGGTTGTAAGCTTTGATATGAGAGGAAGTTTCAAGCCTGTTAGAGCTATAACTTGGTGCCCAAATTGATCCCAGCCCAAATGATTTTTTTTATTGTCCCCCGTTTTCTATGAAAAACTTTGTTGGTTATCAGTTGCTTCCAGAAGAGGAAGGAGTAAAGGCAATTCATGTTCATTCAGCAGATATCCTATGTCATGTGAAACAAGGTTAGAAGACATGGGTGGGTAAAAAGCATTTACAAGGGTCATAATTGAGACATTAAAGAACGGCAAAAAGGCTCCCTGCGCACACCTTTAATCCCAGCATGTGGAAGCAGAGGCAAGCAGATCTCTGTGAGTTCAAGCCCAGCCTGGTCTATAGAGCAAATTCCAGGACAACCAAAGCTACACAAAGATACCCTGGGGAAGGGAGTGGGGAACACGACAGGGACAGGACTCACACAAACAAAAGATAAATTGCCATAGGAAAAGAGGAAGTTCTTTTGGAACAGTTAAGGAAAGTCACTCTGCCTTAGGTCTTACCTTGCGGATGAATATTTGTGGGGGTTCTGTTTGAATAGACGGGAATCTCACTATGTTGAGAAGTAATAAATTTTACAGCATAGGGTATATAAAATGCCATGGGATCATTAGTAATTAGGGTCCATATATCTGAATAAAACATAATTGAGTCAATAGGGGGGGTCAGGCTCCAAGTAGTCATGACTAGTTGTTAAAGAGTGTAGGAACCTAGATTTTGTTTCTACATTGTAGACAATGAGCAAGCTGCATTCCACATATGACTTTAAATCCTTATTGTAGCCCCCAAATAAGCATAGTTCTCCATTGGCTATCGAGTCCTGGTCATGTTGTCCTTTCTCTTAACAATTTATCTCTTATGTCTACAGTTTTACTCTTTTATCTTCACTTAGATCCCACAAAAATTCCTTAGGGAACTAAGAAATTACTCAGAATTTCTAGCTTCATCTGTTAAGTTAAGCATGTTGGAATGAGTACTAGACACTTGTAACTCTCCTTACAGACAAGCCTGCCTTCCACCCCCAAACAAGCTGGCCCTCATGCTGAGAGAAGGGGTATTCTGCCTCACTCTTATAATTGATCCTCACCTCTGAAGTCTTAACACTTTGTGACTTCCAACCAACATTATATGCTTATTGATGTTGCTTGCTAGTTTGACAGCAATGTAATAAATAAAACTAGAGATCTTGGAGAAAGTTCATCAGTCTGCTTCTTAGTTCCTCAAGTTTATTTCTAAGTCAGAAATAATTTCTGAAATTTCTATTTCATCCCAGAATAGTATTTCTGGATTGATGTAATGGTTTCTTGCTTTTAGGAGAGAAATAAGAATTACATCCCCATCTTCTAAAGTTGAAAGGAGCAACAACTTTTGCTCCTGTGTTGGGGATTGACCATAGCACCTAGTCTTCAGTATACCTAAGCATCCATTCTTCTACACTACTCCAGCATTGACAGTTAGCTGGAAGGGTACAGGCCAGATACAGTCACCACTGGGGAAGGGAGGGAACCTGAGGCCAGAGAGGGAGCCAAGAGCACTGCTGACTGCAGCAGCTGAGTGCATGCCACTGTGTGTCAGAGTACAGGTCTGTGCCTATGTCAGTAGACTCCAATAATTGCTGCCTTGCTCAGGGCACCACCTCAAATTGGGCTGTTCAACTGCACAGCTGGACTTCATGCCTCCTGTCTCTGCAAACCAGACATGATAATTTGGTTTCAAAATCCATCTGCTCCAGGAATAAATACAAATGCTGGAGGCTCTGGGGTGATGAGCTGATCAAGAAGACCACCCCTGCCAGAGTCAGCTTGAAAAGACCCATGAAAAATAGAAAATTCATAGAACTTAGAGGATAAAACAACTCATATATCTGAATACTTGGTGGAACTGTTTGGGAAGGATTAAGTGGTATGGGCTTTCTAAGGTTTCAAAGGCCCATGCCATTCCCAGCTGTGTGCACCTGCCCCCCTTCTGCCTCATGCTTATGGATCACATATAAGCTCCCAGCTCAGCTACTGCTCCAGCACCATGTCTGCCTGTTTCCTTCCAGGTTCCCCACCATGATGGTCGGAAACTGTAAACAATCCCCAAAATATGTCTGTCCCATGTTACTTTGATCATCATGTCTCTTCACAGCAATAAAAAATTAAGAAACAGTCCTAGGTATTTACCTGAAGGAGTCCAGGCCAGCTTATCACAGAAATACCTCCACACCAATATTTATTGCAGCACTATTCACAGGAGCTAATGGAGCCATCCTATATGTCCAACAACAGAGGTGGACAAAGAACGTGTGCTACCTATAAACAACAAATTTTTTTTTTCATCCATAAAGAACAAAGTTACATCAATTGCAAGAAAATGGATGTAAGTGGAGATAATTGTTAAGCGAATTAAATAATTCAGTCTTAAAAAAAACAATGTTTTCCTCTCTTGTGGTTCCTAAATTTTAAATAAGCATTTAAAGGCACGGTTGTGTATATAACATGGAAGTAGAAGCAAAACTGTCTAGGGGAACAAATAAACAGATGTGTGATTATGAAGAGCGTGGGGGGGTGGACATACAGTCAAAATATATCCTTATGTAACCCAGAACCATGTGCAATAAAAACAAAGGGGGGTGCACACCTTTAATCCCAGCTCTCGAGAGGCAGAGACAGGTGGATCTCTCAGTTTGAGACCAGCCTGGTCTAGAAGAGCTAGTTCCAGGACAGACTCCAAAACTACACAGAGAAATCCTATCTCCAAAACAAAACAAAAAACCACAATTAAAAAACAAGTGGGGCAGAATGAAGAAAACATTGAAGTTTTCGTTTTCTCAGAAAAAAAATATATAATTGATAATAAGCAATACTATTAATAAACACCTTTAACAATGGTGCCAAGGCAGGAGGACCAGCTTGGGCTATGAAGGAAGACCCACATCTCAAAAAGTCCCACAAAATTAGAATTAAATTTTTAATTATACTTTCCATTGTTTTCTATAGAAGGATTTGTATAATAATTTTCTAAATTTAGTACAAACAATTTTTTAATAGTTTATTCTACCAGGCAAACATCCTATGGGTTTCCCTTCTAGTCTCCCACCAGGGATCCAGACTACTTAGTGTTCCCTGTTATGTCCATTTTTTTCCTGACAGGGCTCTGCACTGTCACTTTTAACCTGTTATATGTCTTTTTTCAACATTTTATTGTATTTTTTTTAGGTATCAGTGCTCTGTCTGCATGTATGCCTACATGCCAGAAGACAGATCTCATTATAGCTGGTTGTGAGCCACCATGCGGTTGCTGGGAATTGAACTCAGGACCTCTGGATGAGCAGCCAATGCTCTTAACCTCTGAGACATCTCTCCAGAACCCCTGTTGTATCTCTTTTATTTTCTGTTTCTGTGGTGCTGGAGAGTGAACCCAAGGCCATGAGCATGATAAATTGTACCCCGACCCACTTTTTTTTTTATATCTACATGTTTTGCTTTAATTTAAAATCCACATATTTAGGGGAAAATAAATATAAATACACAGTATCTCAGATGAACTTTGTTAATCAGAAGTTCTCACTTTTGAAAATGTAATAAGCAATGTATGCTAGGTGTGGTGTTGTACTGTTAGTTCCAGTACTCTGGAGGCAAAGGCAGGTGGATAGATCTCTGAGTTCAAGACCAGCCTGGTCTATAATATAGCAAGTTCCAGGCTAACCAAGCCTACATGGTGAGACTATCTTGAAAAAGAAAAAGAAAAAGAAAAAGAAAAAGAAAAAGTCAGTTGGTAGTGGAGCACACATTTATTTAATCCCAGCGCTCAGAAGGCACAGGCTAATTGAACTCTGAGTTTGAGGCCAGCCTGGTCTACAGAGCTAGTTCCAGGACAGCCGGGGCTACCCTGTCGAAAAACCAGTAAAAAAGAAAAAAATAAAAAATAAAAACCCCAATTATAGGCCATTTCATGAAATAGGCCACTCCAGCCTCACAGCCAAAGGTGGAAGGACAGCTGACCCCACAGGGTTGTCCTCTGACCTTCACGTCATGCACTCACATTTAACACACACACATTTTAAAAATAAAGTTTTATGCAAGATAGAAGCCTTCAAAAATGAAAACCCAAATACCCATTTCTTGCTTAAATGTGATTCAGAATGGACAGTCATATAGAAATTTGGTTAGGTACATGGGCCATGCTCCAGTGGCACAAGACTAAGGGGGAGCCAGCAGAGCCTTTCTTTTTCTTTTTCTGGGTAGTCGAAGTCTTGGGTATGGGGCAGGACCACTCTGGAATGAGTATCTTAGAATAGAAAGTGACCTTTCTAGATTATATCTTTGCTTTGAGAAAAAGTGATTTGCAGTTCCTATGCCCCACTTTAAGAGGAGAAATTATGATTTCCATGGCTGACTTCAGGAGAGAAAGAAAGGCAAGAGACAGGGAGATGGGCAGGGGGACTTTGCTTTTGAGCTGCTTCTAAGACCTCCCAACCTTTTAGCTCAGAGTACTAAGCATGTCAAGGTGCCATGTTGGGGGGAGCAGGTAATCAATTTCCAAACCTCAATGTATACATTCAGAGATAAAGCCCCTGGCTGAAAGCAGCTGAGAGTCTCATAGAGAAAATCAACAAGAGTCAAGGAATATTATGTTCTTGCAAAGGTGAAGGAGGATAAAGAGTTATGAAAGAACATAGGAAGGACTCCAAGACTGTAAGAACCACAGAAATGTCCCCAAAGAGGTGCTCTAGTCCAAGGTTGAAACACTGGAGGAGGAGTCAGGCAAGAAGGCTTCCTGGGAAGCCATGGGATCCAGGAGGAGGCGGTGCCAAAGAGCTGAGCCTGGAAAACCATAAATGAGATTGGTGTGTGGAGAGACAGTTTCTATCTTGTATGGGAGATTTAAGGAGACCCAAACATTTAAAGAGTGATTTACTAGGCTGTAGAGTCTGGGATTTGTGCTACAAGAGTTGGGAGCTCTGAAAGGCTTAAAACTGAGAACTAATGGAATCACTTTTGGGAATCTCAAATATATAGATGTGAGAGGGGAGGGGAGGGAGATTGTGGAGAATGGAAGCCAGGCTCATGTTTGAACACTTGGTTCCACTCTGATGTTGGGTTAAATAATTGTGGATCATTTGGAATTTGAGGCATGGCTGGGAAAGGTAGACTGTTCCAGGTGGGGAGCATTTCACTGTGTAGCCTAACCCTGGTTCCACTCCAGAGCTCTCTGCTTCCTAAGCTACCAAGATGTCTTCACTGTAGGTGATATATCACCACCCATACCAAGCCAGCCACCATTCTTTCCCTACCAGGACAGCCTGTACCCTCTGGAACTGTGAGCAAAAATAAGCAATGCAGTCCTGTATTTTAACACCATCCCTGTTCACTCCTCTGTTGTATCCTGACTCCCTTACAGGTGTAGGCTGTTCACTTACCGTCTCCAGTTTAGTATATCAGCCCCTAATCCCAGGTGTTCTTTGGTGTTTTTGTTTTTGTACAAGGTGGCTGCACTGTGTCATCAAGATTGGCTTTGAATTCATTATCCTCCTGCTGGTATTGCAGGTGTGGACCTCTGTACCAGCTCTCGTTCCTGTTTTAAGGTCCCAGTGACTGCCCATTTGGAGTCATATTCCCTAAAACTAATGGCTGTGATTAAGATTGTCTAAACCACAAGGTGGTGGTGGCATATACCTTTAATCCCAGCCCTTAGGAGACAGAGGTAGGTGATCTCTGTGAGTTCATCAGGCCAGCCTGGTCTACAAAGTGAGTTCCAAGACAGAATCCAAAGCTACATAGAGAAACCATGTCTCAAGAAAACCAAAACAACAACACAACAAAACCCACAAAAAAAAAAAACAAACAAAAAAAGATTGGTCAGACCAGGGTGGGAATCAGCTATTTTATCAAAATAAAAGTAGAGAAAAGGGACAAATAGCCACACAGCCTGAGCACTACTGCTTGTGTTTTTTAATAAGGTTGGAGTCAGTGGAAGGGTTGTTACTGTCATTGGATTCCCCTACTCAAGATTTAATAGGATTATATTTCTCTACACATTCCTAATTACAGGAACCAGGTGTGGTGGTTCAAATAAAAACTCCCCATTGATCCATCGGGAAAGGCACTATTAGGAATGGCCTTATTTGAGTGGGTGTGGCCTTACTAGAGGAAGTATGTCACTGGGGGTTGGCTTTTGAGGTTGCAGATGCTCAAGTCAGGCCAGTGTCACTCCTCCTGCTGCCTGCCAATCCAGATATAGAATTCTGAGCTACCTCTCCAGCATCATGTCTACCTGCATACTACCCTTCTGCCCACCATGACAACAGTGGACTGAACCTCTAAACTGTAAGCCAGCTCCAATTAAATATTTTCCTTTATGAGACTTGCAGCAGCTGGGCATTGGTGGCGCACGACTTTAATCCCAGCACTCGGGAGGTAGAGGCAGGTGGATCTCTGTGAGTTCAAGGCCAGCCTGGTCTCCAGAGCGAGTGCTAGTATAGGCTCCAAAGCTACACAGAGAAATCCTGTCTCGAAAAACCAAAAAAAGAAAAAAGACTTGCAGTGGCATGCTTTTAATCCCAGCACTTGGGAGGCAGCAGAAGCAGGCAGATCTCTGTGAGTTCG